TAGATGAAATAAAATAGATGAACTCAACATTCTATGCTGCTTATCTGGAATAAATTATTTTCTAAGCAAGTGGATGTTTGCAAAGCTCACTCTGTAGAAGTCTGTCTCTGAGTTGTTCTTTTGCCAGGTTCTTTGGTTACCAAACCTTAATTTGAGAAAGAATTGATTGTCATCAATTGGTGAACTCCCTCCTAGGGAAGCAAAGAAGAGAATTTATTTTTGTATTTGAGAACATTCTTTTTTATTTTTTATTGTTTGCATGGGATTTTATTTTATTTTTTATTATAAAGATGTGTACAATTCTTTTTTTTTTTTTTTTACTCTCAGATACTTCTCCATGCTGGTTATCTTTGAGCAGAAACTTGCATGATTAGGCAGCCCTGTGAATGGTAGTGTGTATGCCCTCGGCCAGAATGTCTTAATTTGTGATAGACCAGTATGGAGAAAAATTCAGATTGTTTTAATATCTAGATTCTTAATTTGGGAATGATACTAGAGATGTGTACTACCTATAAACTAGATTCTCTTTATAACTGAAAGACAAAAGACTGTGGCCAAGAACTAAAAATAGTGCTTATTTTCCCCAGGGAGTTAATGTCTTTTGAGTCAGAAAGAACTAATAAATGCTTGTTGACTGGGTTGAAAAAAATTAAATAAACAGAAGAACAAGTGAAGAAAAAAAGAGTTCAGATTCAACTTTCTGGATAATTTATCTCTATTTCTGTATATCTCATGTGTTCTTTGAGTGCACCAAATACCCAGAATTTTCTTGAAGGATTTGAATTAGTAGATATTTTCAGATCTGCTATCACTTTACTTTAATCAACTAAAGCTTATTCTTCAGACAGTTGTGTTTTGCTCACCTCTTACTGGCTATATGTCTGTGATCAAGTTACTTAACCTTTCAGAACTTGTGTCATCTTTAGGATAATGATACAGTCATGAGTTGCTTAACTACAGGGATATGTTTTGAGAAATACATCACTGGGAGATTTTGTTCTTGGACAAACATTACAAAGCGTACTTCCACAAACCCGGATGGTGTAGCTACTACACACCTGGGCTATATGGTATACCCTCTTTCTCCTAGGTTATAAACATCATGTTACTGTACTGAATATTGTAGGCAATTAGAATACAATGGTAAGTAATGTGTATCTGATCACAGAAAAGTTACAGTAAAAATACTGTATAAAAGATAAATGATTTACTTGTATTGGACACTTAACAGCTCATAGGACTAGAAGTTGCTTTGAATGAGTGAGTCAGTGAGCAAGTGGTGAGTGAATATAAAGGCTTAGGACAGTATTGTACATGACCGTGGACTATAAACACTGTATACTTAGGTTACACTGAAGTAAAAAATATTTTTCTTTCATCAATAATAAATTAACCCTAACTTATTATAACTTTATTACTTTATTAGTATAAACTTTTTAAACTTCTAACTTTGACTTTTGCAGTAACACTTGACTTAAAACAGAAACACATTGTACAACTGTACAAAAATATTTTTCTTTATATCCTTATTTTTTGTAACCTTTTCATTTTTTATTTTTTAAACTTAAAAAAATAACTAGGTCATACACGTATTAGACTAGGCCTACAGAGGGTCAGGATCATCAGTATTACTGTCTTTCACCTTCACATCTTGTCCCATTGGAAGTTCTTCAGGGCAATATCATCTCCTATGATAACAGTGCCTTCCTCTGGAATATCTCCTGAGCAACCTGCCTGAGGCTATCTTACAGTTAACTTTTACATACATATATGTAAGACATATATATACAGAGGGTGCCAAAAAAAAGTGTATACATTTTTTAAGAAAGGAAAAAAATATATTAAAATTGTAATACTCAATATATACCAATAACAAAAGATGAAAGCAAGTTGTTTGACTTCTGCAATTACAAGAGGTGCTCAAAGTGGTTACCATCAGCGTCCAGACACTTTTGTTTATGGCAAACTAAAAGTAATGCATAGATAGCATCTCTTAAAATGTGTATACATTTTTTGGCACCCCCAGAGTGTGTGTGTGTGTGTGTGTGTGTGTGTGTGTGTGTATGGAGTACACTCTAAGATTTAAATGATAAAAAGTATAGTAGAATAACTACTAGATGACAGGAATTTTTCAGCTCTAGTATAGTCTTATGGGATCACTATTACATATTTGGTCTGTTGTTGACTGAAACATTAGTTATGCAGTATATGACTGTAGTAATGTACTTTTCAGCATGGCTGAGAAGATCAGGTGAGATAATATATGTTAAAACGCTGTAAGATATAAAAACATTTACCATTGTTAGTACTTCCTAGAAGTGGGCATAAGTTAGAAGTAAAAAGAGGCACCGAGGCCAGTTTGGAGAAAAAGAAGTTTACATTCCCACTTCAGTTACCACAGTGTGAAATTACTATGAGCCCCTTAGGGAAACAGGTCAAGAAACTATGTCTGATCAGAATTGTTCTTGCTGGCCTTTAAGAATAATGTAACCTGGTGACTTTCATTCAACATATCCAAAAAGGTATTACTAATCCTTCCCTAGTCAGTCATGATTTCTGTGGGAATGTTAGTTTTTAGGTTTATGTCAATAGTCTTTCAGTGAAGAGGTCTACTAGAGAAAGACTCACTCTTATCAGATAGTATTAACTATATCCATAATAAAAGATTCATAGATCTGAATTCAAAAAGGTAATTGGCCTTGTAGGCACATTATATATAATTCTTTTTTTTTTTTTTTGAGTTGAAATCTCCCTCTGTTGCCCAGGCTGGAGTGCAGTGGCATACTCACAGCTACTGTGGCCTCAGTCTTTCAAGTAGCTGGGATTGCAGGTACATGTCCATGCCTAATTTTTTAAAAAATTTTTTGTAGAGATGAGGTCTTGCCAGGTAGTCTAGGCTTATCTTGAAGATCCTTCTGCCTCAGTCTTTCAAGTAGCTGGGATTGCAGGTACATGTCCATGCCTAATTTTTTAAAAATTTTTTTGTAGAGATGAAGTCTTGCCAGGTAGTCTAGGCTTATCTTTAACCCCTGGGCTAAGGTAATCCTCTCACCCCTGCCTCCCAAATTGCTGGAATTATACCACGTCCGGCCTAACTCACTGTATATAATTCTGATATATGACAGAATTGATCAGTCTTCTTAAGAATTTTTTTTTGATTGGGAATGAATCAGGAACCCTTTATAGATTCTTTTTAAACTGTATTGCTCAGGCCAACCCTCCAAGTAATGATCACTTCACTTGACTTAATTTCATAGAATTGGTTTAAGGAATCAAGACGATAGCAAGATGTTAGAGGGGAAAGAAGAGCATGCTTGGAAAGTTTGAAAGGAAGAATATAAACTTCATGTGGAAAATGGGAAGGCAGTATAGAGTTCCCAAGAGCCCAGAGAGAAGTGAGTTGTTACTTATTATAGAGTTGTGTAGGGTATAAGTGAGGATTAACTACATAAGTAGGCTGCATACAGGTGAAATTTGAGCTTCTAATTGTCCCTCACTCCCCTGGTAGTGGGCCAGGTATCCTTTGTGTTGTCATATCCCCCTGTATCCTCCTCCTTCCCTCCCACCCCTAGCAATAACCTACAACTGCCCATCCCACCCTGTGCTAATGTGACTAGTGTTCATGGCCCACTTATGAGTAAGAACATGTGGTATTCAGTGTTTTGTTTCTGTGATAGCTTACTTAGTATGATGGTAATTTCCCCTGCACTATTGAGTCCTGTAGTCTTACAATTCCACTGCTGTCTCTGTTTTCTCTCTTAATTTCTGACCCTTCTTTTTTTCCCCCTTTATAACCCTTTTTAATTGTCTTTTTTTCTGATTGTAGCATCTTAGGAAACTCTGGTAGGCTTTTATACTTAGAGGTTCAGCCAGCAAATCTTCAGTGCACATAGAGCTTTCTTTGCAGTGAACCAAAGTTCCAGTTTGCTGGGCTTCCTCATGGTGCAGCAGGAATGATCTCATTAAAATTGATCATAAAAGGCTTAAAGGTGCTTTGACTAACGTTTCTGTCTGGACTTCATTACTTAAGAGATCCAAAGTTGAAAATTCCCCATTCTCATCATGTTCAGAGAAATCAGCCTTGAAGACTGCTGCCTACTCTGAGGCAGTGGACACTGGAAGGTTGGTGGGATTTGCCCCTGAGCATGCCCCCAAAGAACCTCTCTTTATTCCTAGAAGCTGGAAGCTTTTCTTTTCCTACTGCAAGTGGCAGCCCGAATTCTGAGTTGAAAGTGAATCTTTGCCCTTGGCTCCTCTCCAGCATTCCTTGCTGAGCGAATAGGGATTTGGAATGTCAGAAAATAGAAGAGGGGAGGGGAAAAGATGTGTGTATGACTGTGTTTATATGTAAAAGCTGCTTCGTCTGGGAGGACTTAAGGAAACTCAACTTCAGACTGCTTCCCTCTCAAACTCTTGGTTCCTTATTTATAGTTTTTTTGTTTTTTTAAGTTGTTTAACCTGAACTTATCACAGCAGTTCCAAACCCCTTACAGCCCAGTGGTATCAAGCTAAGGGAAAACAGCATTATGTCCAGAGGATTTATATTTTCTTCCCTCTGGATAAAGCGACGGTAGTTGTTCCCACACTCATCTCCGGCAGGATCCAAGGTCGTCTTTTTTCTGGGATTTAAGCAGACGTCATCGGGAACCTAGACTCAGGCTTTATTGGAGAGCAAGCCTCAGTAAGAAGAGTCCTTTTGGGAGAACCAAGGATTCAATCTAGGCGTAAAAAGTGTTGCTCAGCACAATACCTTCTACGGTAAGCTACCAGTCCTGAGCAGTTGTGTTTGAAGCTGAATTGAAAAATATTGATGGAACACGCCTCTCAGACTCTGTGTAACTGGGGACTGGCTCAGAATTCAAGACTATAATTTACAGGGCTGCTTTTATCCTTTATTTAGTTCTATCCAAAGTCATCTTGCATCAACTTAAAAGGAGAGATTCTTTGAGGGTAACCTACAGGGGCAATTTCCCAGCTTTGTGTGAAGAATCCAGTGGTTGAGTATCTATCTACATCTTGAGGAACCATGTCCTCTTTATACACCCGAAGTAAAGAATTCACTCGGAATAGGAAATCTCAGTCTGATTCTCCCCCAGCATCTCCTTCCCCGACTGCCAAGACACTCCGAGTAAGCAGCGATTTTTATTTATGTATGTTCATGGCTGTATCGAAGGTGAAGAATGTGTATGTATTTAACTTGGGGGGTTAGGTTTAGAACAAAGGCATTTAATAGCATATGGGAATCAGTAGGGGAAACAAATTTTGCATGTAAAGACCCTGTTAGCTTCTCTGCAAGAGGTTATGCTTCATGATACTTAACATAGTCTTAAGTAAAAGCAATTTCTGTCTTTTAGCTTTTAACTATCACTCGTAAACTGCTTAACAGTAGAGAGTCCTTATCACTGTATCTTACAGGGCTTTTCTTAATTTCTGTGACTATATTTAGTTGCTGACTTTTCTGTGTTTTATGGGCCAATACTATGTTTCAAGGAAAAAGCTCCCACATGGCCATGAAACTATATACATTAAACTTCAGTTATATGCAAGTTCTGTGTGTATATTTGTGTATGTGTGTACATGAGATAGAGTGTGCCTTTGCCTATTTTGCATGTCTATCTGCGAGTAATAGAAAAACAAAAATGAGAAAGGAGTTATAGACACTTGGAAACTTACTCCTCAGTTACCAGGTATCATCAGGAAATTTCGTGCTTAAAAACCAAAGAATTAACTCCAGACCATTGACAGTCAGCTATATAGAGGTGTTTGTTCTGGCCTAGGTAGAGACATTAGAGATTTTTCTTCATTTCCTCTAGTGAACATCTCTGTTGAAGTGATTTACATATCAGCGTTTGCATCTAGTTTAGTGTCTTCCTCTTGTAGGAAACTGACAAAAGCAAGAACTGCTACCAATAGTAAGCAATGAGAAGCCCTAATGGGCATATTAGGTAGTAGGTAATATACCAGTTTCTTCTTAGGGAACTAGATTGTGTTCTATGGTATATACAGAGTAAGAAGAAGGCCATCAAGGGAGTTGTGAGGAGAAAATCTGCAGAAAGCCTGAATAAGACTAGTGTGTTTCTTTTCAGTTATTTTGTATCTGTTTTCAATGTCTTTCTCACAGGGTAAATCACCATGTAGTGGAATTTAAGTATATGGCATGTTGGTCTAGGACCTCAGCCAGAGATGTTTAGTTACCAGAATACCAAAAGAATGTTGTGAAGTTATTTCATTCATAAGTTATTTTTTGTGAGAGCACCAAGAAAGGCTCCAATGTGTATGTCACCATCATTGAACTTCAGGAGTGTTTCTTCAACCTGTAGACTGGTACTTTTCTTTGTTTCAAACAGCCTCAGATGCTTTGTCTCCAGTAACTGTTGGTTAGTTTTTGGTGGCTACTGATTGAGGTCCTCAAACCCGAACCCCTTTACTTCCTTTAGTGTTTCCCTTTGCTTCTTTTCCTCTTATCGTACTTAGTAAAGAGCCCGTTGTTAACATCTGTTCACCACTGTAACCATAGCTCCCAGAGCAATGTGGTGAGCAGTCAACAATTATGTTTAGTGCCCATCCCCTTTTCTCCTTTCTGTTTTTCCATTTCTTCTCTAGGGTGAGGTATTACTTTTTTCTTGTCTCACTCCTAACAGCTGCCCTCCACCCTTCCCACCCTCATTCCACCACCCCTCATCTCTGCCTTTTAGAGGTCAGAGTGGGAGAAAAATTGAGAACTTGAATTACAGGAAACCAAAACATGGGATGGCTTAATAAGAGGCTTCTTCCCAATTTTTGTGGTCAGTGGCTGTGGATCCCTTCAATAGCATCAGCTTACTGTAACTAACTTTCAGAGTCCAAATGGCTTTAGACTATGATAGAATGTTGATTTTCATATACCACTCATGTTCCATGATATTGCACATGTCTTCAGTGTCTGAGAGAGTGAACGATAGGCAAGACTAATGTGGAGGCTGCTGACACTAGGAACTGGTTATAAAACAAAGATTCTTCTCCTAAGATTTCCCTTAGCCTAGTTTCTTTTCTCTCATGCCCAACCAATTAGTATGCTCTTTAACAACTAGTTTTGTGGTAGTGTTCTTGTGCTCATATGCCTTCTGATGGTTGCTTGTAACTGGCTGATCCTCAGCCGCCCTAAAAGGTGGGTATTGCTATCTGCATTTTACATGTGAGGAAACTGAGATACATAGAAGAGAAGTGGCATGCCCAGCATCACTCAACTAGTAAACAGCAGAGTCTTGATTCAAGCTCGGGTCTCTCTGACTCCAAAACCAGTATTTATCAGCAACACGTTGGAGTACCTATCAAATAAGATTAAGAACTTAATAAGAGGGGCAAAGAAAACAGTTAAAAGCTTAAGAAACTGTGTGGGTCCAAAATTGATTCATCGTGGGAACACAGGAAAGCAAAATTGCAGGAGGGATAAAAGCTGAGTCTATAAAGGGAGGAAATTGACAGGCCGTTGAATCTGAATCTCCTATGCCTGCTACTTAAATTCCAGTCAAATCTTGTGGGACCATCAACCTCACAGAGCCTGAGAACCTTGTAGGCTTCAGATTTCTCTTAAAGGTGGAAATGCTTGGTTGGACCTTCACAGTAAAAATGCTGGAAAGTTTCTGTGTGCACTTCAGAATTAAAGTCAGGGAAGTTCTCTCACTGCCCTTACCCAAACACCCAAACATATATATATATACACACAGTTTTCTTCTAGAGATGGCATAAAGTTAAAGAGGTACAGCCTCTGATCCAACATTCTTCAAAACAGAGGATTGAAATTTTGAACAGCATTTAAGTTTGATTCTTTTTTTGTGTGTTGTTAAAGGGGCTAAATATTAAATGTTTCCATATACGGAAAATATCCTCAAAAAGAATTTTTAAATAATTGCTAGTCAGGTGGAACTGCTGCTTTTGGCTTTTATACCAGTTTCACATCAGTTCAACATCTTTTTTGTCTCTAAAAGTCGGGGAATTCCCTGTGTAACAGATCTGATTTGTTACTAGGAAAAGCAAAACAACTTCCAGTTTCCCATTTTAGACACCTTGCCCATCATCAAATGTTCAAGAAGTAGTAAGGGAAAACTATAAACTGTAATTTAAACAGGCTATTATTTTTAACTTGAGAAAACAAAAAGACAAGATGATTTTTAGTGACTGGCAAACTGAAACTATTTTATCATATGCATTTGTTTTTAAACTCCCAGCAGCATCTGATACGTTTCATGTTATATAGTTCAGAGTCTCTGTACTCAGTAAACCTATGACCCTTTTTAATAATATAAAAACATAATATTTGTCTGGAGATTATGCAACTAGTGTACTCTCTAATGAAAAATTATTCATGTGCAGAAGATAGTACATGTCCTTACCAGCCAAGAAGATTTTGTTTACCTTCTCTGGCTTGTATTTTGAAAGTAATACATATTTTTCATTTTTTAAACATAGAATTATACTTTTAAACACAGTTTTTAAAAATACACAGCCTTCTTCCTCAGCAGAGAAAATGTCTATCCATCCTTTTAGTATCTCCCAACTGGCTCCTACCTTACTAAGGATAGCTATTATAAGTATGGTCTGCTCCTAATATTGCTGTTTTGGTCTCTGCTGACCCTAAATAATGAAATAATTTTTTAATCAGTATTTTTGACTTTCACGCTAGTTTCATATTAGTTCAACATCTTTTTTTGTCTCTAAAAGTTGGGGAGTTCTCTGCATAAGAGATCTGATCATTTCTGATTTGTTATTCAGGAAAAGCAGAACAACTTCTAGATTCACTCTCATTTCTTTTTTTTTTTTTTGAAGTGAACATAACCTCAAGATTTTACTCTAAAAAAAAGATTTTACTCTCTTCATAATTAAACAAAATATGACATTTAGAACTGGATCATTTGGCCCTTGGCCTCTTCTTAGCTCTTCCCATTTCAAATACTTGCATCTCTTAGTAGCCATGCTTTCAAGCCTCAGCACAATCTTCTTTGTAGTTTTAGTCTGTCTGGAAAATCAGCTTAGTCTGCCCATGATAGCCACTTTGCTTCCTGCCATAACACCGCTTTCCCTGGGCATACAGAGAATCCTTGGCCTTCTTGTACTATGTCACTTTTTGGGGTTGGTGCTTGCCACATTTCTTACAGAAAGTCCAGCAGGTTTTAAGAACATTCACCAAGTTTGCAAGAGCGCTATCAGCAGGGGGAAAAAGCCACTGTCATTTCTAATGGGAACCACACCAGATAGATATTTATGAAAATCTGAAGGCTCTGCCTCTTTTCTCATATCATGAAGTAACTATATGAGGAGGGGACCCACCCCCCCCGAATTTATTTATTAAAAAATTGTGTATTTATCCTTACATATTTAAACTTCACTCACCTTCAAAGTACTCTCTGTTTGATGCAATACACTTTCTGAGATGCTTTTTCCACTGCTCAAAGTCGTTTTTGAATATGTCAATTTTGATGCCTTTTAGTACTTCTGCCATTTTTTGTTTCACCTCTTCCACATTGGCAAAACATTTCTCATTGAGGACTTTTTTCATCTGGGGAAACTTAAAAAAGTCAGTTGGGGGAGAGACCAGATGAATAGGGGAGAGTGGGGCTCAGGGGTCATATGCTGTTTTTGGTCAAAAACTGCTGAACATTCAGCAGTCTGTGGGCAGTTGTTTGTGTAAATCACTTATCATGAAATGAGCAAACATGTTGAAAGAATCTCCAAAAAATTCACTGAAGCGGAACACAGCCTCTCACAACAACACTAGCTGGTACACCTATGCTGATGGGTTCCTAGAATACTTACCTAGCTGGGGAAGTCTCTACTGCAATAGACTCACCCTCCAAAAAAAAATTCCTTTTTTTTTCCAGACCCACTTATATATAATATAAAATACGGGTTTCACACAATTAGTAGAAAAGTTTCCCTTTGACAGTAATTTTTAAACATTAAAAAAATTATTTCTCTTCTGGGTCTTTATAATTAGAAAAAAATCCTAAACTACAAATACATTAGACACCTCTAACTCTTGTTTTTAATCACTGTGTATATTGTTGGGTCTAAAGTTTATGAATTTTATAAATTAGGAATGAGTCAACTGAGATGGTTTAGCATTTTAAAGTCATCCTGAGGCCAGGCTCA